AAAAAAAAAAATTATAGTTTACAAATAACGGCAAAATTGTATGATTATTATTTTTTTAGAGATGTCAAGAAGAAGCTAATAATGGAAAATTTAAATTACGAGATATATTGTCTGTACCAATGCAAAGGATACTTAAATATCACCTATTATTAGATAAACTTATACATGATACTCCACAGGTACAATAACCATAATTTATCTTATTTGTTATTCTTGTAAAATAAAAATCTTCATATAACTATGATTATAAATTAGACACATAAGGATCTTCCTGGTTTAGAATGGGCAAAAGAGTGTATGGTTGACATAGCTCAATATATAAATGAAGTAAAGAGAGATAGTGATACTTTGCAAATCATGAATGATGTTCAGGTAATAATTATTAATATATGTTATCGTAAAAATTGCAAAATAATATTTTAAAATGTTTTATAATTTATAATAACGATAAAATTATAAAATTTCAGAAAAGTATTGTTGATTGGAATATCGTTGGAATGATGGAATTGAAAAATTATGGCCATTTAATAACTGATGGTGAATTAAAAATTAAAGCCCATAATGATCAGAAATTAAAACCAAGGTATTTTAATTTGTTTAATTGATTTTAAATTTTTAGTTTAATTTAAAATTAATTAGATTTTGCTTATTGTGCATGCTAGTATAAGTACATGTTTTATTTTTAATGATTTTTTTTTTGATTGTATGTAGATATTTTATTATTTTCATTTTTGTAGATATGTCTTCATTTTTGACCAAGTTGTGTTGATGTGCAAATCAATTAGAGTAAGTCAAATATCTATCCATGTATTTACAAAGTTAATTATGYACCAATATTGACTAACTCTTAATACTGTTAATTTATTTTTTTTTTTCATATTAAATTACAAAACAAAAAAATTTATTAATAAAATAAAATAATTTAAGGGGATTGGAAGCGGTGATTTTCTGTCTTTGTCTAACACACTTGGGACATACAATATGCCTGGCAAAAATTAAGGTACTTCTATTTGTTCAATTCAAAATATGTAAAGATGTGTTAATTGGTATACAAGTTGACTTTGCATCAGTTGAAGCACATTTTTGATTGTAGTAAGATATTTTGATAAGAATAAATATTTAAAATTTTATAAATTTGTCAATTTTTTAATGAAATATATTAAAAATATGCTTCGACCGATGCAAAGTAAACTTGTACACCAATTCAAAAATCTACATATTTTAAATCTAGCAACTAGAAGTACTTTAATTTTTATCGGGCATATTGTATGTTCCACGTGTGTTAGACAAAGACAGAAAATCACCGCTTCCAATCCCCTTAACTGAAATTAGTTTAACAAATGATAAATCTTTATTAAAAACAGTAATTATTTTTGGTTTTAATAATTGATTTTGTCCAAATTTAAACTAAAAATAACTATGTTTGTATTTTTTAGTTACAGAATTAATTAATTTTTTAATCTTTAAGTATATAAATCGAACATTTTATAAATCAATTTCGGCAAAAAAAATTTGTTTTTTTAAATTAAATTTATTGGTTTCCAGAGTGATCAATATTCTTATAAGCAATCACTTATTATATCACATTATCGTCTAGAAGATTATACTAGCCGCAAATTCTTATATAGAGAAAATAGATGGTCCCATCAGTTTCACATGGTTCACAAGTCAGAAAGTATTGTGTATACATTTTATGCAAGATCTGAAGAACAAAAAATGAAATGGATGAAAGCAATTAAAGATGCCATGTAAGAAACCTATAACATAATCGATTATATACATTAAAAAATACTAATAAATATGATTTATTTACTTCAATTTTAAGAGTTAACATTCCTTGTAACTTGTATTACATATTATAGATTTTAGACTAATCAATAGAAATCAATATTTTAAAATGTATACACTGAGTTTTCAGATATGTTTTTATTTTTAGGGACAATATTGAGCCATCAGTATGCAATTTAACAAGTCACAAATTTGTGATGCAAACTTTTGACATACCAACCATATGTTATCATTGTTCAAAATACTTGAAAGGCTGTATATTTCAAGTAAACTATTATTTAAACTTAATTTGTTTTATTGTTTGTACTTTTCATATCTAAAAAATATTTTATTTTATTTTTATAGGGTTACAAATGTGAAGAATGTTTTATTAGTGTTCATAAATCATGCATACCAGAATCGGGAAGATGTGGTTTAATCAGTCCACAATCTACTATCACTCAAAACACTATGTTTTCAAATCGTTTTCCAGCAGATCAYGCTAGTTTCAATCAGCGACACAGAGTATGAATCTATATAGATATATATTAATATAATAAAAATTTTTAAAACTTTTGCATTGACTAAAAAAATATAATTCAATCCAATTATTTCTTACGTAATATACAGCAGAAACTCGATTATCCATGTTTTTTAGTTGGACTATCAGGGTTTTTATTAAATTTAATTTACTTAAAAAAAATTATATGTACATAAGTATGTTTGTTTATTGTAGATTTTTTAGAAATAATATGAATGTGTATGTAGTTAATAAAAAAGAAAAAATAGTAATTTTGTATAATGTGATAAAAAAAATGTATGTATAAAATGTATAAATACTGCAAATATTTAAAAAAAATCACTCAATTTTACGTCAAGGCTCTGGTTCAATGAYTGACAGTTAAAAATAAATTCTACTGTATGTTTGATGTTTAAGTATTTTGGTCATCAAACTAATTTAAAATGAAAAGTTATTATAAAATAATATGGTCATTTTTTTTTTTTTTACAAATAATCTTTAAAATTATTATTTATTAAAGTGTATGTTAAAAGGAAAAAAACGTTTTATTACAATAAACCATGTATAATTTTCTCTTAGTATAAAAAATAAACTCATTTAGAAGCATATGTAGATCTTAAACAAAATAAGTTTTAACTATATTAAAATCACTAGTTTTTTTAGTATAATATATCATTATTAGTCTGATGAAACTTTTTAAAATTATTTTTAACTAATAATAGTTGTTTGTTATTCATTACATTTTAATTTAATTTTCAGTAAAATTAATATATTAATATAAAAAATAAATTCATAGCAAATATAAATGTATATATTTATTTAATTTGTATTTACATAAGTAAAATAATTCATAAAAAAAATAACTTCTTATTTCAGTCACCAGATTGGACAAGAAATTGGTCGGACAATGATACTTTAACAGAACATTTGTGGTGAGTAGTAAACTTGTAAAAAATTAAAAATAAAACTAAATATCCCCAGCAATTTGAAACTAAAGCAAAACTCTAGAATTTTGTTTAGATTTTCAATAAAAAATGTTACAAATATCATAAGCAAAATGGCATATTACTCAGTATGGCTCTAAGCTAATTTAGTTATAATTAATAATGGACTTTGGTAATTATCAATAAAATTCCTTGTTTGTAAGATTTTGCAATTATTTTTTATCAGAGTAAGATATTAAAATTTAGTTGAAACTACCATTAAAACAATAATTACTATAAAATAGGTCACTTTAAAAAACACTAGACATTTTTTTTTCTAAATTTATCTTGCACAAACCGCATATCCACATTTTGCACTTCTATGATTGCGACTAAATTCGAGTAATTAAGTCACAAATCCATCATATATTTAACTGAAAACAATACTTTTGCTGTCATTGTATGCATATTCTGACTACACACAAGGCTCCTAAACGATCAGGCAGTTGCAGCTCTTGAAGTTTTTTAGTATATTCTTTCAAAATGAATCAAAAAGTATAAAACATTGGTTTATAAATTGTACACAAAATAGAGACAAAGAAAACGAGTAGTCAAAGTATACTAATTATATTAGAACTCTTCAGTTGGGTTTTTACTAATATTTAGTTTTCTAATTATATTTATAAAAGTGCACTAGTGCACAGCAAGGTTTGTTATTAATAATGATAACTATAATTCAATAAATTATTTTATTAAATAGGTTTGTTGGAGAAATGGATAGAGATCGTGCAACAAATTTATTAGAAAGTGAATCTGGTGGTACCTATTTAGTACGAATACGACCTAGAGGACCTACTAGACCAGTAGAAACTGTTTATGCGTTGAGTTTAAAGTATGCTATTTTACAATAATTGAAATATCAAGTATCAAAATTATGAATTCATTTAATACAACATATGTAATTATAATTAGATCCAATAACCAAGTAAAGCATATGAAAATATGTGAAAGATTGGAAGACGGAATTAGCAGTTTTTATTTATCAGAAAAACGGTTCTTTCCTAACCTAGTTGAATTAGTTAATTTTTATGAACGAAATAGTTTGAGTGAAAATTTTACAGGGTATGTAGATATAATATGTACTGTAAACTGTAATATACTGTAAACATAATATATTCATAATAGGTTTATTAAACTATTAATTTTACAGGTTGGACATTAAATTGAAATGGCCATTTTGTCGAATACTCGCCATAGCAAAGTATAATTTTTCTCCTACTGAATCAAACCAGTTACCATTAAAAGAAGGATGTACGTTGAAAATTTTGAGCAAAGAAGGGGATCAAAAAGGATGGTGGAAAGGACAAATTGGAGACAAAGTAATTGACTATTATATTAATATTTTTAGTAATAAAACATTAAACATATATTTTAATATTTATTTTCAGATCGGTTTTTTTCCAAAAGTATATGTACAAGAACATACCCAGAGTACATTAAAAATATCAACTTAAATTGTATTTAATTCAGTTGTAACCAATGCTTTTATTCTTTTACAACCAGAAGAAGAAAATAACTTTTGAGGCTCKGGACCAAATGTAATTATCCGCAATATTTCACTGAAAAAAGTTAATATATTTAGTACATTTTACATATAATCTGTCAAATACGTTTGTTTGTTTTTAACTRTATATAAGTCTCAAAAATGTATCATTATGCATTGATATATACAATTATACACACAATTTCACATATATTTAATCGATTGAATATTCGTTGATGTTTATGTTTGTTAAGATAGAAAACAATATTTTATTTTATGT